CCACCCAGGTGCCCCAAGATTTTATTTTTAAGTAATCCTTACACCCAAGTGCAGCTCAAACTTAAAACCCCTGAGATCAAGAGTTGCAGGCTCTACCAACTGAGCCAGCCAGGTACTGACTCAACATGAAACACTTCTGTCTGCGAGAGCCCCCAGTAGGAGAAATAGACATGCCAGCAAATTATACTATCACTTGATGAATGCTGTATTCTGAGAACACAGAGGACAGAGCAACTGAACAATCTGCTCAAGGCTAAAGGAACTTTCCTAGGAGTTAAAATTTGACCTCAAACATGAAGGGGTGGAGTAAAGGAGTGGAGTATGGATGATGACAGCATTGCAGGCTGAGGAACTAGCAGGACTACGGTCTCCTGGGAAGGGAAAGAAGTCAGCCTGATGAGGTCCACTGAAGGGAGAAGGTGCCTGCACTTTTCACGAGACCAGCAAGTAGGCAAAGGCTGAATTATAAAATATGTTGCAGTCCAGGCCAGAGAGTTTAAATTTTATCTTGCAGGCAGCTAGAGATCAATAAGTTTTGAAGTAAAGGATTGCTGTGACCAGCTTTGCATTTTAGAAAGGTAACTCTAAGCAGTGACAGAGCACACAGCAGGTGGTGAGGACATGCACGCCCTTCCTCCTTCCTCTTTCTAGACTCCATCTTCGTGGTTGCAGCTGCAGTGGCTGTAGTTCAGTCACCGACGTGCAGCTCTTTGTCCGCGCCCAGGAGCTACACACCCTCAAGGTGACCGGCCAGGAGATGGTCGCCCAGATCAAGCCTCATGTAGCCTCTCTGGAGGGCATCACTCCAGAAGATCAAGTCGTGGCTCCTGGCAGGCACACCCCTAGAGGATGAGGCTACCCTGGGTCAGTGTGGAGCGGAGGCTCTGACCACTCTGGAAGTAGCCGCATGCTTGGATGGAAAGCCCGTGGTTCCCTGGCCCATGCTTGGAAAGTAAGAGGGCAGACTCCTAAGGTGGCCAAACAGGAGAAGAAGAAGAAGAAGACAGGTCGAGCCAAGCGGTGGATGCAGTACAACTGGCCAACCGGCGTTTTGTCAATGTTTGTGCCCACCTTTGGAAAGAAGAAGGGCCCAATGCCGACTCCTAAGTCTGTTGTAATCCTGGCTTTCCCCAATAAAGCCACTTAGTCCAGAAAAAAAAAAAAAAATAGAAAGGTAACTCTAGTGGCAATATTGGAGGATAGATTAGAGAGATCAGAGGTCATAAAGCCCCATTAAATTCTGTTGATTTTGAACTTGGATGGTAGACAAGGCAAGAGGAGATACAGGAATCAAGAGACATTTCAGAGGCAGAGAATGCACAGAACTTACTGTCCCACTGGACCTGCAAAGAGGGGAACTTGCAGATAATAACAAAGTATCAGGCTTAGGAGAGTAAACATGTGGTGGTCGCTAACTCTGATGATTGAGAAAGCAGGCTGTGAAGGTAGACAGTAAGGTCCATGTTGGAGGTACACAGAAGTTACCTTGGGGACATTTGGGTGTATAGACGTCCCAAGGGCAACTGGATGTAGGGTTGGAGTCCAGCACAAAATCTGAGTTGCAGATTTCGAAGTTGTCAGAATAAGAATGGTGGCTGATGTCACCTTGGGAGGACAGGGAATGAGAAGACATGAAAACCCATTTGAATGGCATGCTGGGAAGGAGCCAGCAGGGCAGAGAAAGCATGGTCAGAGAACTGAGAGACAGCAGTGTCTGAGAAGCCAAGGAAGAAGTTTGGAGGACTTAGGACATGGCCAAAGCCTCAAAAGCTGCAGACTAGTCAAATACATTAAGAGCTGAAAACAGAGTTTGGATGTGGCCGTTAACTGAGAAGTTGCTGGTGGCCTCAGGCAAAGCCATTTTAGTTTGGATTTAGTTTAGATTTTAATGAGTTGAGTGACTATGGCTGTAGAAATGGAAAACCAGGTATACGGACCAGAGGTTACAAGCCAATGTTGAGAAGCCTATTCAGTTTACATCTACATCACTTCTTTTTTTCTGCACCTGTCACTCATTTAGCTCAACTGCTTGGACTGTACAGGGAATGCGAGGTGCTTAACATTAGAATAGATTATGTGGAGGGAGTGTAGGAACAGCTGGAGGTAGGGCAATAGGTTTAAGAGAGAAGAGATAAGGGGAGACTTTTTTCCACAGGTGGTGGATAGGAAGGAGGTAAACACTGACTGAATGAGTGAATGAATGAATGAGTGGTGGTGCGTGTGTGCCTCTTCAGTACCAGATGGAGGAAAACTGAGGGTGTTTGTCCCTGTCCAATGGCCTCTGTGCTTTCTTGGGGGAAGAAATTAATGGTATCCACACAAGAGACCGATGGAACAAGTGGCCCAGATTGCTGGTGGTTCCTGTTCTACCCTAGAGCCTCCTGGAGCTGAAATTGGTGGTTCAGGCTGGGTTTCGGTTTCAGGGGTTGGCTTTCCTTTGTGGAACATTCTTATCTCTCATCGGTACGCTTCCTATCCCATCTCTTCCTATTCAATATCCACTGTGTTTGCCCTTTCTGAAAGTGGGTTTTCAAACTTCTGTTTCCAGCTGCGGTCCCCCCTCTCCTGGGCACACTAATCTAAATCTACAAGGACCGTAAATTCATTCATCGTTTCAGCAAACACTGAGCAACGAGCACCTTCAAAACACCCTTCTGTAGACAATGCTTAACCTCAAAAGAGCGATGGCAATTTGAGACCTCTTCGGAGCTCAGTGGGGTTTGGTCTTTGGAGGGCAAGAGAAGGAAAATCTGGGAGCTGGTGGAACCCAATGACATGGGCAGTTGTGACTCATGGTTTCTTTGAACTCTTGGTAAAAGGTGGTGTACTAATCAAAGCCAGTCTCTGAAGTGACAAGAGGAAAGTGAGTCATTTGGTGAGGCTACAGGGATTGAAACTGGGCTGCTTGCCAGAGGAGTACATGAGGTAGGAGCTGTCCTGCTATGCTGTCAGCCTCAAGTCTATTTCCATGGGGTCCACACACAGTAAGTCCTTGGAGGGACAATCGACTGGGATGCAATTGCCTGTCTCTGAATATACGCAGTGAATACATAATTTGCTTTGACCTTTGGGAAGCAACTTCACCTCCCAGGTTCTTTTTCCCCTTACCTCCCAAATTAGGGGTGGGATAAATAGGATAAAGGACCCGGTGCCATACCATGGGGGCGGGTGGTGGTGGTGGTCACAGTTGACTTTTTGTCATATGTGTGCACAGACAGACACAACATGACTGACCTTACCCCTGGCTACACTTAATAATGTTAGTATTATTTCTCCCCCTCATATACTTCTTTTAGGGCATCTAGTAGTATTTTACGTACCATTTGTAAGCTAGCTTAAATCTTTTGGAATCAGGTAGAACGTTAAAAAAAAAAACCAAACAAACACTTCAGGGGCACCTGGATGGCTCAGTTGGTTAAGTGTCCAACTTTGGCTCAGGTTGTGATCTCACAGTTTGTGAGTTTGAGCCCCGCGTCAGGCTTTGTGCTGACAGCTCAGAGCCTGGAGCCTGCTTCCGATTCTATTTCCCTCACTCTGTCCCCCTCCCCCACTCACACTCTGTCTCTCTCCCTCTCAATAAATAAATAAATAAAAAATAAATAAAGCACTTCATACCAGAATAGTATACTTTGTCTTTTTTTAATTCTAAAATACTTTATAATTAATATTGATAGGAAGACTGATATACAACGCAATTATTTACTTTACAAGGAGATTCTGTACATCAGGGAAGCATCTTAAAGTACAATACATCAGACTTTTATTTCTTCTTTACATTATGATTACGAATTGTTACTTACATAAAAAGGGAACACAAAATCCATTTTATATATATATATAAACACCTGAAAGGACTTGACCCCCAAAGTATCTTGTTTCAAAAAAACGTGAATGAGATGAAAGATGAACCAGAGTCCTTTGTGGCACACAGAAAGCAGACAAGTAGCTCAGGAAATCCAATTCTGTTTCACACTTGGCACATTAAGGGAAAGCAAGGCAGCAGCAGAGGGTTTGGAAATGTCACCATAACCACAGAGAATGCTAGAATAAGTCAGTCAGTCTCCAAAGCAACAGAGAGGTTCGAAGAAGTCATGTGTGTGACCGCCTTATATTCAGACCTCTCACAACAGTGTACAACTGTCACTCCTCTTCCTGCAGTCATACCAAATTGTAATGAGCTTCAAGGAGCTGTGGACCCACTCTAGCTCCATAGCCGCAAAGCATCGGGCAGTAACCGAGTAATCGGAATGCTTCCCGATTCCCCATACAGAGAGAAGACACTACCTTTTTAAGGTCACCTCAGCTCTTTTGTTTTGACCTCATGGGTTCTCACTGTTCAGCAAATCTTATATGGACATATTAGGAGAAAACGAGTAAGAATCTAGTGAACAATTACAACAGGGACTGCAGAAGAAATCGGCGAAACAGCCACAATTTTCTGAACATTAAGGGAAAAAGGCCACATTCATCAGTTAAATAGGAACACATTTTTTTCTTCCGCTTAGTCTGGATAGGAATTAGAGGGAAATGGCGAGGCAGTATGGTTTTCCAAATAAAAAAGAAAGCAAATAAATTTTCTGTTTTAGGAACATTTCATATTAATATACATTACAAATACAAAAAGGGGTGGGGGCCGAGCCAAGGCCCAGGCACCAACGACACTGGCTCCTGCTTGGCAGAGGAGGGGTACGTGAGGTGGAAGGAGCCAGAGAGGGTCAGCAGGGGGACGGGTACCTGGAGGGGAGAGGGTGAGTACAGCAGGGAAGGGCAAACAGCACTGAGCAGGAGGGAGGAACAGCGGGTCCTGACTGTGCCTCTCCTACTTTCGCCTCCAAAGTCCTCTTCTGGTCCGCACCCCACTTCCCTAGGACCTTGCAGGGACTCTGGCTGGAAGCGTGGGGGCCCACAGCAGGTGGCTGGCTCCCACAGAGTTGCCACAACTCTGTTTTCCGGAGGAGAACACATCTATTGGTCAGAATGATTTAGAATATCATTTGGTGCGACAAATGTACTACAGCTTATAAAATTTAAGCCATGGGTTAGTTTTGTGCCAAAATGCCATTAACAGAGAAGTCTTTTTTGGTTTTGTTTTTGTATACAGAAAACATATATGCTTTCTCACTGTCTTAACTTGGAATCTAATTGCAGCTCAGATTGTTTAATAGGCAGGAAAAACACAAGTTTCCAGCACTTCTTCAAGATCATTTTTTTTTTTTTTATTTAAAAAATAAAAATCAGGATGACTTGTGCCAGAAAGGAACATGTCAGATCCTGAGCTCCCCTCAGGCTGCGCTGCCCGAAGAGGACTTTATTGCTGTGTGACAAGAGGTATAGTGCGCTGCTTTCCACTGACATTCCGATGTGGTGTGGAGGTGTCCCTGGGAGGTGGGGGCCCCTCTGCCAGAAGGCTGGGGGCCTCCAGAAGGTTTTTCCCACCACCAATTGGATTTGATGGCTGGGGCCACACAAGGGGCACCCACGACCAGGACAGGGCAGGTAAGGCGAATGGTGCGAACTGTGCCCCAGCACAGGCGTCATCTTGGGGCGACGGTGTGGGTGGCCACTAACACTCGGAACCAGCAAGGGGCCCGGAGCGTGGGTGGGTGCTGAGGCAGACCCCTCAAGTATGATGCAATGTTAAAAGGTTCAAAAGCACGGATGAAGTGTTCAGTTTTGCCCAAAGCAGCACATGACCACCCATTCCAGTGAAATGCTACATTCAGAGAAGTGCTGTTCGCCCCAGAGCTACATCCCCGAAGACTCAATCCTGGCTGTGCTGCGAAGTGCAGAAGTTCCTTCCACATCACTCTGGAGACCGAAGCAGCCAAGCAGCCCTGTTTTGGGGGGCTGTTTAGCTCCTCTCTCAGACTTCAGCATCATGGACGATGGTAGCTAAAAGAGATGAGCAAAAAGGGCCGAGTTACCAGGTATTGTAGCTTGTTTTGCTGTGATTATATGAATAGTCATGAAATGTTACGCTCTAATTTTTTTTTTTAACTTTTATTTATTTTTGAGACAGAGAGAGACAGAGCATGAACGGCGGAGGGTCAGAGAGAGAGGGAGACACAGAATCCAAAACAGGCTCCAGGCTCTGAGCTGTCAGCATGAACTCAGACTGCGAGTTCATGACCTGAGCTGAAGTCGGGCTCTCAACCGACTGAGCCACCCAGGCGCCCCTACGCTCTAATTTTTAAAAACTGCCTCTCTGCTACTCTACTTCTACCTAACTTTTCTTCTTCTTCTTCTTTTCTCTCTCTCTCTCTCTCTTTTTTCAAGTAATCTCCACACCCAATGTGCGGCTTGAACTCATGACCTCGAGATCAAGAGTCACTCAAGGACTGAGCCAGCAAGGAGCCCTATTTTCCCTAGAGCGCTTTTCTGGTTCATTTTCCACAAACAATTTTCCCCTTAAGAGCCACTCATAATTTTATATTTTGAGGCTTTGCTTCCCTCCCTGGGCTCTCAGCCTGAAGATCCAACTGTCTTCTAGGCATCTCCACCTCAGTGTGTCACAGGTTTGTCAAGCTCAACATACACAATGTGCTTTCCAGTTTGTTTACCATCTGCCTTCTGCTTTTAGAAGAAAAGCTCCTTGAGGACAGGGACTTTATCTTGTTCTATGTTATATTCTAAGCACCTCCTTAGTACTGTTATCTACCAGGTAGCAGGTGTGTGATAAATATCTGCTGAATAAATGTCCTGAAGTGTTCACCTCAACTCCTCATTGACTTCACAGACATCAAAAATGACAAGTTTGAGATCTAAGAGTCCCTTGACTACTTTCTTTAATTCATCCCTGGAATCAAGAGATTGCCCAACCTGGTTCTGTGCTTGAAATGGTGTCCAAATCCATCTCTCTTGCATTCTCACAATCGCTTCCCTGGTTAGCTACCAGTGTGCTCCCTGTGACTATTTTAGTTACATACATACATACATACATTTATTTATTTAAAGTTTTTTATTTTTATTTTTATTTTTTAGTAATATCTACACCCAGCGTGGGGCTCAAATGCACGATCCCGAATCTAGAGTCGCATGCTCTTCTGACTGAGCCAGCCAGGCATCCCTAGTTTAGTTACTTCCTGCCTGGTTTCCTTGCTGCTAGTTTCTTTGTCCTACTACGTCACCTTCCATCGATCCACCAGAGCTCCACCTGAAACGCTCAGAACTCCAGTGGTTCCAGTGTCCTAGCGTAACAGTCAAGGCTCTTCAGGGTGTGACCCTAACCCATTGTGTTGGTCTCCTCTTCACCACACTGCTCCCATGTGTCCCCTGCTCCGTGACATTTTCCGTAACCCAGAGATAGTGTGCACTTGCTCACCTCCCATAGCCTTGTTAATGCTGGTCCCTCTGCTTACAATGCTGCTTGGTAATGCTGGTTCCTTCCTTCTTGTTCAAATAAATTCTTTCACGTGCTTTAAGATCCAGCCTAAGTGGCATCATCTCTATGACTCTTTCTTTTATTGTTGCTCGCTATAGTACTTTATTATTATTGTAACAACAATGAGAATGGCTAACACTGACATAGCCAGAAAATGGTGGAGTTGGAATATGAAATCTGGCCGATTTAGGACTTAGAATGACTGGGGCATTTATCATATTGATTGCACTATATATTTAGTAGTGCACAGGTCTTTTTCCAGATTAGAGCACAGTCTTCTTGCTGGCAAATTTGGCTTGTTATCTGAGTTCGTATTACATTGCCCTGAAGAGTGTTACTGGCTGTTCAAAAAATGTGCCTTCTCTCCCACACTGAGCGTAGAGCCTGCTTAAGATTCTCTCTCTCTCCCTCTGCCCCCCACTCACTCACTCGTGCTCTGTCTCTCTCAAACAAAATTTGCCTTCTCTACTATCTCAGTTCGGTACAAAAAAATTCTGTAATTAAAAGAACCATTTGCCTGGATTGTGATGGAAAAACGTTTAACAATTATTTTATTTTCCAACTTTGCTCGCTTGCTTCTTTTTATAGCAAACTGTAATTGTCATTGTATTTTCCTTCATTTAACCTCTTTAAAAAAAAAAAAAGTTTATTTACTTAGAGAGAAAGCATGCAAGCAGGGGAGGGGCAGAGAATTCCAAGCAGGCTCTGCACTGTCAGTGCAGAGCCCAACATGGGGCTCAATCTCATGAACCATGAGATCATGACCTGAGCCAAAACCAAGAGTCAGAGGCTTAACCAACTGAGTCACCCAGGCACCCCACCTTTTTTTTTTTTTAAGTTTACTTTTAGTAATTTCTACAACCAACGTGGGGCTTGAACTCATGACCCCAAGATCAAGAGTCGCATGCTCTTCTGACTGAGCAAGCCAGGTGCTCCTAGCCTCTCTTTATAAATGTTCTGAGAGTCACCTACATACTTTCATTGATTCCATTTGTAGCCAGCTGATTCTTTAGGTGGGTCCTTAATCACAATAGTAATTCCACACCAAAATACTTCTTGGCTTGTTTCATGAAGACAGGGAACTAAAATGAAGTTTATATACTAAATTGGTAAGATCAGCAGTGCTAGAAATAACCGAAACCAGAGAGGGTGAGATACTGTCTAACTTAGCAACAATTTCCTTATACAACACCTGGGACACTGAGGCACAGGAAGAGAGCACCCAGGGGCTTTCCACCAGTCATTCCTTTTTCCACTCCTGGTTCTGCAACTTACTTAACCTTTTTGGGACTGTTTCATTTTGTTTCTTCTCTCTTCTCTTCTCTTTTCTTGTTTTAGATAAGCTCCACACCCAACGTGGGGCTTGAACTTATGACCCTGAGATCAAGAGTCACACTCAACCGACTGAGCCAGTCAGGTGCTGCTGGGCCTGTTTCTTCATCAACAAAATGGGGATATTAAGAAAGCCTGTGGGGTTATCGCAAGGATTAAATAATATACGTAAAATACCACACTCAGTATAGGCAATTCCTACTGCCTCTTAGTTGTCATCCCTGTCTCTGAATGTAGTCTTCTTGCAGTCAACATGCTGTCTCCTTCTTTTAATGATGGCATTACGAGTCCTTCCCATCTGGACAACTCTGTTGTGTCTGTTTTGTGGTAGAGCTCTACTTAGCTCACAGTATTTGGCGCTTACCGTGTAAAATGTTTGCTCTCTTCATGAACCTCCATCTCTGAGCTTTTAAATTCATTTAATTCTTTTCTTATGGCAGCCTGTGGAGTAGAAACAAAAATGTTTTAGCATCTTCTGTCGGCCATAGTACATATAGCAGTGTCATTTGCCGTTTATTCTCGCTTGTGCTTATTAACTTCATGAGTCACTGCAACCCATAGCAGGCAACCCGGAGCGAGCAAAGGAGCCAGGTCCACACGCCGAGCCTGGTACATGTCGCCTTTCTTAACACTATTTATCTCATAATAAACCGAATCTCTCTAGTTACACCAGAACACCTAGAGAGCTAAAAAGAGATAGTGTAACTTTTATAGTTTACAGTTTTTTTTATAGTTTTATAGTTTTACAGCATGTAAAAATGCTTTTCCTGTTATACAAGTGAAATGCAGGTCATTACTAAAACAGACCACCCAAACTCGCTCCAACAGAAATAACCACCATTCAAATGTGTTTTATTTCCTTCCAGATTTGTGGACTTTGTGATGTAGCAAGGATTTTCTTTTTTTTTTTTTTTTTTTTTTTTTTTTGGTTGTGGTGATGGTGGTGGTGATGGAGTCATTAGTATAAAGTTTTGGTTCGTACATCTTGGCATTTTATATCTTGATTAGAAATTTAACATATCAAAAAGTAAAAAT